ATATATATTGATTATATTCTTCCACTCCCTCCAGATTCTCTCCACTTCTTAAAAAATAAAAAGGAGGAACAAAAAAAATAAAAACAAACTAACAAAAGGAACAAAAAAAGAAAAAAATTAATATTTATCATAGATCCAGCTACACTCTAGGGCATATACTCAAGGGGCTCTGCATCTGACTACAGAGATACTTGCTCATCCATATCCATTGCTACTCTTATTTGTGACAGTCAGAAATTGGAAACAGCCAAGATGTCCATCATTTTTATATCATTTTTTATTTTAATTTTAAATAGCTTGTTTTACATGTCAATCCCAGTTCCCTCTCTCTCCCCTCCTCCCGCACTCCCCTTCCCCCCCCCCACCCTCCCACCCTATTGCCAAATCCTTCCACATAGGGGATATCTAGAGTCTGTCATTTTACTCTGGGTAGGGTCCAGGCACTCCCCTAAGAGTCCAGGCTGAGAGAGCATCCCTCTTTGTGCTATAGGCACACGAAGACTGTGTGTATACCAGGGATAGACACTGATCCACAGCTCAGGGCCCCATAGGTTGCCCAGGCCTTCTCGCTGACACTCATATTTGGGGGGGTCCAGATCAGTCCCATGCTGGCCTCCCCACTGTCGGTCTGGGGTCCATCATTTTTTATGATAAACACATACAAGCCTTATCAGCAAACATGGTAACAAATAAAAACTCAGTTTTCAAGTGTCTTTATACAAGGATTTATATGACATAGCCATTCTTGGGTGAGTCCTCTCTAACTGGTCTGTTAGTTGTATTCCGTCTCTAACGTTTGACTTTGGTCTTCCCTTTGAGGTGTCTCATGCCTGCTCCATATGAAGCCTCCTTGCACGCCAGTGCATGAACATCAGCCACAAACTCACACTTTTTAAACCCACACCAACACCTGCAGAACTAGAGTCTTGTTGTCTACTGTTTCCAGCTAGTCAGACAATCTGGTGTATAAACGAGAAATGGGGCTGCAATCACATCCTTGTTTTGACATGTTTTAGAAGCCGCAACACATTCATTGAATATTAAACGTTCTTTCCAAATATGTCAAGTTAATATTTTAGCAGAGTCCTATAACAGAAAAAAACATATACAAAGTAGTTTTCCTCACTGAAGAGTTTTAAAATAGATGGCCATTATTAAGACTAACATTAATTACAACAGTTGTATCAACGTAAAGGAGCTGTTGCAGACTTTAGGACAGAAAGATGACTGTAGGTGAGGGAGCGCTTGGAAGGCTGGAATAGCTTCCTGTCCTAGAATGGTGGGAAAATATGCAGGCCTCCACACGTTCCCCTCACATTCAAGAATCTTGCTTCACTTATCCATTTCACCAACTGAATAAATGCATACACTACAATTCATGGTCCACCTTGGTCATAATCCACTATAACACCCAACCATACTTCCAACACTCATGTTTGGCTCATTCAGCACATGACTTGTCTATGTTTGTATTTAATAGAACTTTGTTATTAGCTCATGCTTTGTCTTTTTTCTTCATAAGATTATTTGCTGACATCTCAAAGCAGTCCATGTTACATCCTCAGAATTCAGTTACTGTCTATACCATACATTGTGTTATTCACAAACATTTATTAGACATTTCTGTGGCAAGTATCAGGATTTGTTCAGTGTCATTTGTTGTCTTCTAATGACTTCTTTCTTTTTAATTAATTAATTATTAAATTGGACTATATATTTTTCCCCACTCCTCTTCCCTCTTCCCCTCTCCTCCTCAACTTACTCAGGGGATCTTGTCTTTTTCCTCTTCTTAAGTGGATCCCAATAATTTTATCTTCATAAAAGAGTTTGTAATTGTTCATATTACATATTCAAATACTGCTATTTTTAAACATTTTATCTTTGAAATGTTCAATTTTGATCATGTTCACTCATCATTACCTCCCTTCATCTTCCCATAGTATCCCCATCCTGATCTCCTTGCAACTTCATATCCTCTGTTTTTTCCTGCAGTTTTTAACCCTAAGACTCCAATTAGTGTTGTATTACGTGTACTGCTCATGCAATGAAGGATAAGCCACCTGCTACCAGCCATGCTCCAAAGGAGAGTGGCTCTTCCTTCATCTACACCACACGATCTCCTGTGCCACTGGTGGGAGCAGAGGCTCCTTCCCCATGTTTGAACCATGGGTGCTGTGAGTTGATAAGTGCAAAGCCATGCCATGTCCAGAAGAAAGCATCCCACAGCTCTCCTCCTTGTCTTTCAGTTCCAAAGCCGGTAAGCACACCGTTTCGTGGTGTCCCTGAGCCTCGGGTGGGAAGAGGGTAGTATATATGATTCCATTGTGGCTGAACACTCACAGTTACATACAGTTGGCGCTTTGGCTATTATGGATTCCTACATTGAGCATTTCCCACTGAGAAAAGAAGCACTTCTGACCAAAGAGGAGACCAACGTGCATCTAGAGCTATACACATAAATGTTCAGAAGGTAGTTTGACAGCATGAGTATCTAGCGTATAATTTATTATTTAAATAGATCTATACACTGTTCAGTATGGTAATTCAAAATTAACCCAGAAACTTGGCTATTTTCCCCTTGAGCACAATGTTTTATGTTTTGTTTTATGTAATAACACACACACACACACACACACACACACACACACACACACACACATGCTACCGTCTCTTTTGCTATGACTATTTTCCCCCTTGAGTATAATGTTTTCTGTTTTGTTTTAGGTAACAGCACACACAATGCTACTTTTTCTTTTGCTATGGCTATTTTCCTCCTTGAGCTTAATGTTTTCTGTTTTGTTTTATGTAACAGCACACACACACACATGCTACCTTTTCTTTTGCTATGTCAGTTCTCTGGTTTGTTTACTTCAAGGCAATGACAGTAGAATGTTGGGGACAGACCTGTACTTCAAAAAGAACCCTGCAAAATTACAATACAAATTTAAACAAATTGGAAAAAAGCATAGAAAAACGAGTGTGAATACATTCTTATGGAAATAAGAAATTATTATTCACCAAATAAAGAAGCTATTGTAGTTTAGGATCAGTTTTGGATCACTTTACACACACACACACACACACACACACACACACACAAGAACTTAACATCCTCAATAAAAATGTATTTTTTATATTGGAACTATTTAATTTTTATTTCCCATTTTCTGTAATCCTCCACTAAAATAAACTCTTAAAAACATAATGATTTTTTTCTGTTAAATTTTTGGTACCTTTTGTTTTTAAATTTATATATGTTAATTATATACATACTTATGACATATCCATATTATTCATACAATGTGTGATGATTAAATCAATGTGACTAGTTTTTCCTCACCTCTATCATCGATTGTCTCTTTGTGGGGAGAAGCTTCTACTTCCTTAAAAATATGAAAACAAAGTTAAACATATATTAAACTTTAGATCCCCAGTGGATCTATTAGCATCTGAAATCACTGCTTGTATCTAAGTGTATATTGTTTGGGATCTAACCGTGCTTTCTCTATCGCATCACCCCATTACTCTTCCTCATGGCACAGATTTCTTTAAAGTGCTTCAAAGAAAATAACTGAAAGTCAAACAAAACATTGCTGCAAAAACTCTGATACACAACAAAGGATTTCCCAGTGATCAGAAACAAGATGGTGTTTCATACTCTCTCCAACCTGCTTAACATAGTATTTTAAGTCTGTGATGGAGAATTAGGGCAATAGATTGAGATAACAGACATACAAAAAGGAAAAGAAGTCAACATGTAACACCATGAAATTTTATAATGAAATTTGTAAGTCAGGAATGGTGGAATACAAATGTAAGCACAATACTTGAGTGGTAGAGGTCGTATGATCATGAGCTATGTCTATCCTAATCTACATAAAAAGCTGGGAATAGCCTGACCTATGTCATATTCTGTCTCATAACTAAATTAAACTCAATAAATTAATGAGTAATTAAACACGGTGACATGTTATTTAAAAAGCAACAAGAAGATTCTAGAACAGAAGCTGTGTCTTGGTGAGAAGTCTAAGATTGGAAGGAACTATCAAAAAGAATTCTGCAAACCCATCACAAGGTTAAAATGAGGAACAAATAGCAATGTTACATTTATCTTGGGGGAAAAAAGTGTAGGAATTTTGATGAAAAAAATCAATTCTCTGTTCTTAGTGTGTAACGAAAAGGTGCCTAGAAGGAAAATTGTGCCTATTCAAATAATGATGGGTAAGAAAGCAAATGTCATAGTCAATCCTCCCCCATCATCTATAAAATAAGGTCATGCATGGTGCATAGGAAGGGGCAGTCATTTCATCAGGACACTCAACACACTGGAACAATAACCCATAAACCACTCTGTCCTGTGAAACTTGTGAAATAACCCTGTATGTTCAAATATATTTCAATATCTTCCATTTTCTCATAAAATAGTATCATGATATATGTTTCCTTTAATTTCTAAATAGACAAAGTGTTAAAACGCTTGTGTGAAATAAGAATACCTAAATATAGCAGTACAATGATCTCCTGGATTTAAAACTAAAGCAACACATGAGAATATATCTCATGAAATGGAGTTACTAACTGAAAACATACTAGTTGTTTTGAAATGCATCATTTATGGCCAGTAACAACATAAATACTTATGAGGTAAAATGTCATGTTCCCATTAACATATACAATGAGTAGTGATCAAATCGGGACAAGTATTGTTTTATCATAAAGTTTTATTTTCCTCTCGTACTGAAATACATGATTATGTTAAGAATATATTGCAATGGAACCTATCACTCATATATGTCAAAATTATGCATGAAATTGTATTTGGATATAGAAACATAAGCAAAAGCAATATTTAGAATGTTCACAAAGGTATTTATTGGAATAGCATGCCTAGAAACAACTCAGAAAATATAAATCTTCATGTCCTCAGCAGAGCAGGGTGAGGAGAGTCAACTTTTGTGATGGATTCTGGAAGAAACACTCCTTCACAGATTGTTAAGCTTTCAGTAAAATCCTGAGAACTGGTATCTGCCACAGAAAGAGGGACGGAAGCGGCCATAGCCACCATAGCCGCCAAGGCCATACCTGGAACCATAGCCATAGCCACCATAGCCGCCAAGGCCATACCTGGAACCATAGCCATAGCCACCATAGCCTCCAAGGCCATACCTGGAACCATAGCCATAGCCACCATAGCCTCCAAGGCCATAGCTGGAACCGTAGCCATAGCCCAGACCACCGAAGCCACCAAGGCTACCATAGTAGTTGCCGTAGTAGTAGCTCATTGTGTCTGAGATTTAGGACTTGGTGTGCTGTTTTCGGTGAGTTTCTGGAGAATGAAGGTCACTCTCTGCTCCTGGGTTTTATAGTGTTCCTGTGAGGTATGGCAAACCACAACAAAGAGTGCACTCTCTTTGAAAATACGTCTTTGGAGAAGCACAGTATTATTTCATCATGCCACCCTTATTAAAGGTGTTCCCAAAGATACACAGAATGTTCCTTTTTGTGTTTAAATATTTTTAATTTTTCTTGTACTTTGACCATTACTTAAGTTTCACATATATCTATAATTAAAATGTAATTATCAATCATTCCTGAAATTGTTGGAGAATATAATTAAAGCATGTATGCTTGGATATTGTTTCAGCATCCCTGATCTTTTTTCCCACATGCCACAAATATCTTCATCATCTTTTATTGCTCTAAAGTTTAACCTACATTAAACATTATTAAATATCATGTTTTCTTTTTGTGTTCCAAAAATTCATAAACAGCATTAATGCAAGAAATGAAGTCAGAATTTCCTTACAAAATAGTAGAAATAATATTACCTATCTTCATTTAATTGTGTGTGTATGCATATGTGTAAACTGACTTTTTGTATTTTATTTAAAACACAAAATATTTGATAAAATATAGCCAATAATGTTTATTATTAATTTTGTGATGCTGTAATCATCAGGATGTCTTACCTACAGAAATTCGTGTTCTCAAAATCCTGGTATGCCACTTTGATGGGGTACCACATAAAAAAAGAAAGGCATTAATTTAGAAAATGTAAATCATCAAAACGGGTTACATATTTGTGTTTATTACAGGGTTCATTTCTAAGTAAACTTGGGCTTGATGCATGCACTGTAAAGAAATATTTTTCAATGTGAAAATACAACTAAAACTTTTCAAAAGCATCAATTAAACACCATGTACTTTTAATCTCTTACTCATTAAAATGTTACTAAAGTTCATATTCACAAATAATAGAAATAGAAAATTATGCTTTTCATTATAGAAAGGATGAAACATAGGTCACAGTCTAGAAAAGCTGTCTATATAAATTCTTCAGTTTTTGATCAGAAATGTGAATGTCTGAGGTCTCCAAACATAGTGATGGCTTCTCTAATGAGTAAAGTGTTAGATGAACAAAACTCAATAACTATTTGAACTTTCAATGTAATGATTTTCCCTTTCACTAAAATTCAAGAAACTAGTATTCTGTATAGGTAGAGGGACCGGGAAGCCAAAACCATAATGACTATAGTCCTCAGGGCTATAGCTGGAACCATAGCCATAGCCCAGTTCATGGAAGTCACCACGGTGATAGCCAAGACATCTTTCTAATCAATGGTAATTTCATACATGTGTGACTAAATTTCCTTTTATTTCATATTAACTTCTCAGGACATGTCTTTAGAACAAATTGTTATTTCTATGTTTAATGCGAAAATTGATGGTTTTCTATCCATATCTTCATATTCTGGCTGAGTAGTTGACTTGTTTTCAAATTATATCTCTTTCATTTCTTGTTAGACTGGGTTTTGATTGAGTACTATGCCTTTATCTGTGTATTCAATAGATGAATGTAATTATTAAGGGGGAAATGTGTTTCAAAATTCTTAATTTGAAAGTGTGAGGATATATTTATGATACAAAACCCAAGAAACTGTGCACTGGAAACTTGTCTCAGGAATTAAGAACACTTGTTACTCTTCCAGAGGATTTGGGTTCAATTACCAGAACCCAGATTGTGGCTCACAACTCTTTGGAACTCCAGTCCCCTCTTCTGGCTTCCACGCACACCAGTCATACACATGATATACAGACATGCTTATAGGCAAAACACTAATACACATAAAATAATAAAACAGTTAATTCTAAAATACTTTAAGATTAGAAACCATTACTGTCCCTTCTTGTCTATGGGTTACTTGGTGTCTTCTATATGTCTACATTTTAAGAATTGGAATTCAAGTCCAATGAAAACATGACACAAACTTAAACTTTTGTTCCAGATAACACCTTATATCAATGTCCAATTTCCCTAGACAGTCCTCCAAATTTGTCTCATAAAATATCAGTTGGTTTTATTGCTATAAACCTTCAGCTCAAAACATTTTACTCACATTGAGCCAATCTCAGCCCTCTCTACCTATTTCCCTTTTGATCCTCTTCATATCGTTCCTGATTACTCATTTTACCACTGTGAGAATTAAGTTTTCCAGCCTCTAAACTATTACTTACAAATTTGTTGAGTTGGAAAGTTTAATCTTCATAGTCATGTCGACTGGTCTAAAACTTGCTGAAACCAAACAAAATGGGTTAATGTACTATTTAATATTATTATATTAAATATAAACTCTACAGAGAATACTCAAAACAAGGAAACTGCCACACCCATGTGTTAATGCTGTTGATCCTGTTAAACCTATACTGTTGTTCTACAGAAGATAATGTGCTTACCTGAGGGAATGTCGGATTTCAAGTTCAAAGGAGAGAAAGACAATGAAAATGACTTTTGAGCCACAGTGCAAATCTCACATTGAATTATGATTACAGAAAAGGATTTTGATGGATATATGTGCTGGAAAATGGTCCATGGTAAATAATATTAAGTACTAACACATGAGCAAGGTGAGGCCACTATGATGCTGTATAAAAAAAAATCTGTGAGTCTGTGATCTGTGCTTGAGCTTATGTGCTTGTGTCTGTGTTTCTGTTTAAGCTCCTTATGGCAGTACAAATGCAAAATAGTGGTATCTGTTTTAACTTTAGACATTAGAGGAGTAAACTCTTTCAATGGGACCTGAAGATAGCCATAAAGTAAGGGTACACATATAAATATACTGCTATGAGTAGAAATATGAGAATGGGGGTCATCTGATGTACACAATGGGCTTAACCAAATTGGTACAGCCCTGATACAGAATTTAACAGTAGCTGCTGTGGATAAACCTATGAAGTTACACTCAGTGTAGACCACAATCCCACTGTAGCTTCTCATCAATAAATACTTAAAGAAAATAAATATTAACTCTACAGAGAATACTCAAAACAAGGAAACTGCCACACAGTTTCTATTATGTTTTCAAAGTTCTATTATATTGCACCAGAAATAGAAAATCACCAAAAACATTATGAACGAGCACCACATAAACCCCATCACCATAGGGGAATCTTCCATCACTAAGTGGTATCTTTATCATATGCAGGATAAAATTTCTAGCAACCTTCAGTTTTTATTGTCAGTTCATATGAGAAGAAAATGTACACGATAGTAACCCTTTACAAACAACTTTAGGGCTGGTTAGATGGATCAGTGCGTAAAGGTGCTTGCTGTCAAGACTGACCACCTGACATCCCCCATGCCTGTGAGTTCAACTTTGACCTCCACATATGTGCTGTGGCATGAACACTTGCACATCTGCATTCACACACATGTGCACAAACACATGCACTCCCACACAACTGCAGAAAATTTTAATGAATTTTAAAAAGCTGTAACTTTATTTTTTCATTATTGATGAAAATACAAAGCCACTTGCTGTTTTTCTTCACTTTGGAGTTATTTTGTGCTGGATTAAAACAATTCTTGGTTGATGAGGCTGTTTCAACTGGGGTCAGTGTGTCACTTCTCTCTAAAATTTCCAATTTAAATTATATCATAAGAAGAATATGCCAAACAGCCTTTCTCTTTCTGACAGTGAAATTCATGGTTGAAACCTAACACTGGAAATCACTGGTATCCACAAAAGATGAGATGCTTGCTATGTATTGAGAGACAGCAGGGATAATGTGCACAAGTGTGTTATGAAGCAAGTGTGCTCATGCTTCTACGGATACATGGACAGGTGCATTATATTCATGTGTAGGCCAGAGCGCAATCATGGTGTTTCCCACAGAAATACTGCCCACCGCCTTTGATAAAGATGTCCCCCACTGTCCTAAAGCTCATCAATTGGGTTAGACTTGCCAGTGAGCCTTGGTTGTCCTTCTGTTTTGACTCCCCAGGTCCCATCCCTAAGCCAGAAGCCATCTCCATTTGGTCACACTTGTAAATGGAAAATTCATTTTCTCCGAAAGTTTCACTAGGGATACAAACCAATCTTAAGGGCATGTCCCATGCCCCAGCAGTAGTTGACCAACACAAGATGAAATCAATGACACTTTTGAAGGTGCTTTGTCAGGGCACTTTAAAAATAATTTTATGTTATAAGTCATTTACATATCTATTATGACTTTTGGGTTTGTGATTTTCATGGGATTCCTGAGTGTGCAAATGTGTGCTTTTGTGCTTTTTCTTTACATCCTCACCCCCTGTTGTTTATTTTGTTCTAATATGTTTGCTCTAGTGTTATCTTTTTGCATTATTATTATTAGTTTGGTGCCTGTTTGTTTCCTAAGGAGAGACAGAAAGGGTATGAATGCAGATTGGAGGGAGGTGGAGAGAATCTCAGAGGAGTTGGGTTGGGACAATTTAATCAGGATACATTGTATGAAGAAATTTATTTTCAATAAAAGAAAAATAGAAAACAATCAATAACAGAATAAATTTAGCTTAGCTTTAGGATACACAGAGAGAGAGAGAGACAGAGAGACAGAGAGAGACAGAGAGACAGAGAGAAAGAGAGAGAGAGAGAGAAACATTCACACTAGCACTATCAGGAATAGAGGAATGAATTACAGATGAATGCCACATCAGGCACAACTCAGTGGTAATTCTCTTGAGCAGATTTCCATGGAGCTAGGAAAAAAATTACTAGTTTTTCTTAGTATTTAACCAGAAGAGGAAACATAAATAGATGTGTTAATCTATAATCCACTTCTAAATTCTTAAAGAGACCTGTGCCAAAAAGTTGTCTCTTGTGTGCTATAGTTCTGAAATTGCCAGGAATATGGTCAAGATAGAGAAATCTCCTGCAGTCCGTTAAATTTCTGAGGTCAGCTGAACCAAATACGAACAGAGCAAGTAACTTCAAAATGGAGAAATTCGTCTTACAACAAGTCTCAGATATAGAAGTTGGGAATTGGGCTTTTAAGGTAAGCATTTTCCTTTGAGTGAGTTCCAGGACAGCCTCCAAAACAATACAGAGAAACCCTGTCTCAAAAAAAACCAAAAAAACAAAAAAGAAAACATTTTCCTTTGAAGGGCCACCTAGAGGAACCTGTTCTTGTCTGTGTTCTGGAACTAGCAGAAACTAATGTATCTCTATAGCCTATGCTCCCTGGATGACTTGGCATTCTTCCTGTGGTCTCACAGGTCTTCTCCACCTACATGTGTCTGTCCCTTCGTCTCTTCTTCTTTTACTGCGAGGACCATAATCCCCTTGTCCTCCCTCTTCAGCACCACTTCCTGCGGCTTCCGTTACCCACAATTTACCAAGGAGTGACAATGCAGCAGAGCACAATAGAATATTTTGAAAGATAGTTCCCACATCCATGTAGCATAAAAAATACATTACTGTAAAGAGTCTATATTTACTATTATTGATTGTGTCTAATTTGAAATAAAACATTGTTGTGGTAGTTGTGTGTGCAGAAAATCCTGTAGTCTACAGAGAGTTAAGTATTTTCCATGGCTTGGCACCCACTAAGGACTTTGGAATATCTCATTAATCACTTAAAAAAGCAATCTCTTTTGAATTATTTCGATGAATGTTATCTCCAAGATGTGGACTTCCAACAGGCTCATATTTTAAAGTTTGGAGACATTCCTAAATGTGAGAATGTCATTCAACCATGTATGCTTTTCCTTATTCACAGGTTCAAAGATTATGGGAGTAAGTCAGATAGATACCTGCACCCTTGATGGTGCAGACGACATCTGACATTAAGGCATTCAGAACAATGAGTGACAGCTTGCTCATGCAGTGTAGAAAGATGAGGGCATGTGCAGGCACCTGGAGCATGAAGAAAGGTATCTTCCATATGTATGGCTAGTAGGCTCTTAATAATTCATGGGGATGTTAAATGCAGAGGAGATGCGCCTTAAAACATGTACTATAAGGGATGTTATTATAAGTAACCTTAAATAATATGAGGGATTTTTTCTCATAAGTATGAGAAAGTTGCAATCTACTTGCTATTTCTGTGGAAAAAATATTATCAGAAAAGGGCATCAGCTGAATAGCAAATGCATTCTTTTGACCCTACCACTCCTTGCATTTCTAAGCAAATAATTCCATGGGGATTAAGTTATCATGAAGCAATTGTAAAAACATAAAAATCTATTACACCTGGTGTGTAAAAAGGAAACCATGTACTTAGATTCAAGGGGAAATTTTATTTTAAAATAACTCAGAAATGTCATGGAAGAGAAATGTCAAAAGCCAACACATCATAATCAAGAGTTGATGACAAAATACAATTTTTGTAATCTGATCCCTGTTCAGGGACTGAAGTGTCCGCTGATTCAAACAGTGACACGACATGGTGGTACCTTCTTTAGAAACTCATATGACTAGACAACAAATATTCGAAAAATATTTAGAGTTCTGAAGCGATGATAGCTTTCTCAGTAAAATCCAGAGGACAAATATCCTCCATAGAAAGAGGGGCGGAAGTAGCCATATCTATAACCACCATATCCCCCAAGACCATAGCTGGAACCATAGCCATAGCCCAGGCCACCGAAGCCACCAAGGCCATAGTAGTTGCCATAGTAGTAGCTCATTGTGTCAGTAGCTGGAGACCAGGTAAGATGCTGAAGGTGGGGTTCCTGAGAATGACTATCATCTGCTAATCCTGGACTTTTATACTTTTACAATGCATGCTTCACAAACCACATCAAAGGAAATTCCATATTTTTGGAAGTTACTGCAGAAAAGCAGTAATAATTCAATCATGCTTTATTATTAAGTATAATTCCAAAGATGCATAATAGTGCATTTTTGAATATGTTAATATGAAATGCTTATAAATGCTTATAAATATAGATTTAGGTTTACTTTAATTATGACAACATCTTTGTTATTACTCTACTTCTACATTAAAATGTATCAAACAAGCTCTCCTTTGTCAACATTTCAGATTTTGAGGGATGGTTTTTGGTTTTATTATTACTATATTTTAGTTAGCTACAATAATGTGGTTCATTAAATTACCATATATGTATATCATTGAATTAAGCTCATCATCTCTCCACCACTAACTCATTTTTTTCATCCTGCTTCTTGTTGGTCTTTCTTCTCCAAAAGTCACTCTTCTGATTTGATGTATAAAACATATCTTTGAGATGAGCTGCCTCACACACACGCACACACACACACACACAGAGAGAGAGAGAGAGAGAGAGAGAGAGAGAGAGAGAGAGAGAGAGAGAGAGAGAGAGAGAGAGAACTAGGGAGCATGTATCTGTATGTGTACACATGAATATATTTTTTTGAGAATTTGTGTATCATGAACTAGTATCTAGTTTTTGTCTTTCGAATTAAAATTAGTTTTGATCTTTTCCAAATATTCTACATTCTTTCTTTCAAAATTATTCATTCATTAACTTATGGAAAAGTTTTTGTAATAAATTAAAACATAAAGAAGATCTATTTGTGAATATATGGTTATTTTAATCCCTCCTATTCCTTGGAACTCTATGCCTAAAAATTTTAGCTACTTTTGTGTTGGTTAATATCAAATTCCACAGGGTAGATCGGCTCAAGTACAAGATGAGGTCATTTTTTCTTTATGTTCTTATCTTAATAAGACCATTCTTCCTGACCAAACATGATTCCCCAGTGTTTTTTGAAACTGGAAATGGGCATCTTCATCACAGATATTCTATTTCCTGGAAAAGGAAAATGTTGTTATTGTTCTTATACAATGCTCAGTCATCATAGTCTACAATTCTACCTACCTAGAAGAGTAGCTACCTTTCCAATTAGAGAGATGGTCAAAGGGATAATTGAGACCAAAGATTTCTCTGGACCTTACTGACGCTGTACATATATGTGTAGGGGTGAGCCCACAAAACTATCTGCCCAAAAGGGGCAGAGATATGAAGATTAGACAGATGGGCTATTTAAGGAAAGGCTTCCTCTGGAAGCCTGGCACGCTTTCTGTCCCCTCAGCTTGTATGTAAATAAATATATTATATTCCATATTGCATTGATCTCCTGCATCATATATGCCTAGATAATGTTGATTTTTATAAATAGAGAGGTAAGCATCAATCATAGAGTAGTTGTAACAACACATCTTATTAGGAGTTATGTGACTGTGGTATGCTGCTCTTGAAATTATCGGTACTTTCAAACCATGGTTGATCACAGGTGAAAATACTTCAGTGAAGGAGGGACAATAGACAATAATATTGGCCTATGTTCCTTGCCCATTTGACACTGATAACTAGTTTCTCAATCAAATACATTCAATACGTTGTTTATCTACTATACCTGTTCAAATATATTTTGGCTTGATGAGTGAAACAGGAGCAAAACCACAGAGAGGAAAGAAAATTACAGAAGGGAAAATGAAACCATGACAGCCTGATATTATGCTCACCAACTCTGCCCAAGTGGACAGGAGCTAGAGAAGAAAGATTGCACTTGGTAGAGTCTCATTTGACAACAGTGAGTGATACTAGAGCTGGCATTGGCTGGTGGCTATTTTGAGAAAAAGTGAGATTAAGGCTTCAGTGCTAACACCTCTCTATCACCCTTTGTGGTGATAGCTTTCTACTGTAGTAATCCAAGGCAGAGGTGGGCTAGGGGGTTGGCATGGGAACTGTCTCCATATGCATCACATCCTTTAGTTTGAATGCAAACTGAAAATCATCCAATGCATAAATAAAAACTACTCATGCTACTAACATAATAAAATGAAGGCATGCAGACAGTGATAATGTTCTGGATAAAGAAAGCCAATCCCCAATGTTTGGGGCATTGATCTGCATGTTCACACCCTCGCCAGCATTCCACAAAAGGCTCTCAAATATGGCATTGATAAGGAAACAAAAAAATCATGAAATGTTATTTTTAAATGGATGTTAACAAATAAGTTGTGTTTTGAATAAAATCCAAATGTCAGTATCTCCCAAAGAAAGAAAACTGTAACTACCCTACAGCCACAGCCACTAAGACCATAGCTGGTACCATAGCCATATCCTGGACCATCAATTCCATGGCCAAGGCCACTGTATCAGTAGCTTAGTATTGGTTCATTGTTTCAGAGGCTGATAATGGGCTTAATATTAATGATTAATTAACTTCATTAGAATGGATCTTAACCTCTGCTCTAAAACCTTTATACTCATGCTGGGCAAATTTGGTACCACTCTGTCATCTTTTCTCATTCTCAACTCCCTCAAAAATGTGCAAAGCGGCACAATTTCACTTCTGCTTTCAGACCTGAGAAGTTTTAACGCCACCGATGCCTGATGACATTTACTTATTTGCTTCACCTACACGTCTCAAAACAGACACTTAGTAAGTATAATTATGATCGAGTCTTCAAAGCTTATGACCATGCTAGCAGAACTTAGCTGGATTAACAGGTGCAAACTACTCTCTTCTTGCATCATTCACAACTTTTCTTTGTATCATTGTTTCTCTTCTCAACGTTGTGATCATACTTTACCCTTTGTTCATTATAATAAATCTGTGTTGGAAAGAATGTGTCAGTTGAAATATGAATGTGTATAGTCACAGCCCTTGCATTTCACGTCCTTTTGAGTGTCTCTCTCTGAGTTTCATAAAAAAAAAAAACCAAGTTCACATGTCAGAAAAAATGATGAGAATGTCTTTGTTGACCCCTGCTAAGCTCCAGAAGGAAAGATTTGTAAGCCCTAATGCCTTACTCAACTCTCAGCTCACAAAATGATTATACTAGCTCAGTGCCAACAATAACATGGGCGAGTACTGTCTTTTATAGATTTGAAGGCCCTGAAAGGTACACTGTAAGTTGAAGTGGTAATAAAGAGAGTCTTGTATTTATTTAAATGAAAGGACCAACTTTTGCCACTTTCTGAAATGGCTGTGTTTAGTTTACTTTGAGGTATTTGAAGTAGAGTAGGAAAGTATCTCTCAAAGAAGAAAAAACCACACCTTAAAGTGAAGACTATTTTAAGTATTTTGTGAATGAACACAGATAAACAAAATTAAAATCCCCTTTGGAATTCCATTAACCTAATTTTTGGGGGGGGGATTAAGACAGGATTTCTCTGTATTGTTTTGGAAACTGTCCTGGAACTTACTCTGTAGACCAGGCTGGCCTCCAACTCGCAGAGATCCGCCTGCATCTGCCTTCCAAGTGCTGGGATTAAAGGCATGTTCCACCAATGCCTGGCTTAACGGAAATTTTTTATTGTCGACATAGAGGTCTGTTTCCATGGAAACAAGAAGTTAGCCCACAAAACATGATCATAATGAAAACAATTTCACCTGGATTGGTGAAGTTCTAAATCAGAAAAACAGACTCTACCTAGGACCACCAGCTGGGCCCGCCCCTATTGGTCACTAATTGAGAAACTGTCTAACAGCTGGATCTCATGGAGTCATTTCCTCAACTGAGGCCCCTTCCTCTCTTATGACTCCAGCTTGTGTCAAGTTGACACACAAAACCAGCCGGTACAAACATATAAGTGTTTTATTTTAAAATTTCCACTGACATATTTTTAAACAAATCTTAATAATAACTATAATTATATTGTTGACATAAAATTGCACACATCAGAAAATTATGGCTTAGGCTTTGTAAGAAGTGATATCACAAAACCCTTTTCTACAAACAAACAAAAATGGAAACCAGGTTTGTTATGCCAGTGAAGACACCTTGTCAGGGAGAAGACACCGTGTTAACGCAAGTGAATTAAGGTAGTGGCAACAATTCCAAGCAGAAGTCACTGTGAAGGGACCACCCTCCTTTCTCTCTGGTATTCTACTGGAAATATTTTCTTTTTACCATTTTTTTACATGATGTGTGACTGTAGCAGGCTTCTCCGCTAATTAATTTAATTGTATGCTTGACTTTGAAGACAAAGAAAAAGGGGGGACTATTACGTCTTTAATAGGTTGCAAATTTATTCAGAAGAACTCATAAAAAAAATCAAAATCTTCAGTTGATGGAACAGGAGAGACAGCAGCTGACTAACACAGCTGGTTTAACCAGAGGGACCTTGGCAGACACCTCTCAGGGTCATGGCCGTCAAGGCTAAGGTCAAGGAACCAGAGAAACTGGCAGAAAATAGAATTTTGAAATCAAGTTTCTGTTTCCTCTGAAGCTTCGGGCTGACTCCTTCGGTACTCAGCAGTGAGGAGGTCAGGGACTGTCTGATCTCTCGAACATGACATCTGTATTTTGTACTTGTCTGTGATCCATCCTCCTGAACCACAGCCTCACCTACCAATGAGAAGCTGAGGGACTCTGCCCCCTGCTGGTAGACTGTCTTCACTGCACAGTCCCAGTTTAAGGAGAAAACAACAGAGCCTAGGACCCATTTTCAAAATCAAATACAGGCCCACCATAAAACCGAAAAAATTATTTCAAAATCCCGCTTTAATCTCCCTTTAGCTGTTTTTATAAGGCAAATCCATCTTTGAAATATATGGCAGTACGGATTGTAGTTGATGTGTTTTAATTACAAAGAGAAGAGGGCATGAAGCTGGGGGAGTGGAGTCGAAATCTGGAAAGAGAGAATGCATTTGACCAAGGTAAAGTGCATGGAACTCGCAAACAGTGAGCGAAAATATATTTATGAAACGAAATCTGTCATTATAATTTACGTTATCACACAACTGCAGGAAGTATGTCGCTAACTTAGAGTATGGAGAGTACGGATCAAGCCTTGGTTTCTTCAGAAGTCTGTCTCGAATCAGGTGTTCCAAGGGGAGATTTTGTTGAATTTGCCTAGGATTTCTGGAACTGGGTTGTTCTCTTTGCAGATTTCTGCACATAAAGTCATTGCTCCTGCTATGCTCGTTCCCCTGCTCCCTTTCTCCCTTGCCTTATGTTGCTAATAAGCTTTGAGGGTGAAAACCTCATCCTTGCTTTCTATCTTCGGGTGGAAATAGCATTTCCCCAGTTGGTACAGTAATCTTTGCCAAGCTTTTTGTAGATACATTTATCAGAATGAAGCATTCTGTTTTTAATGTGATGAAACTCTTTCTTAAAGACATATCTTGAATATTTGTCAGCTTATTTATTTGATTATTTATTTATTTGATTATTTATTTGATTATTTATTTGATTATTGAATCCCGGGGCATCTTTATTGGTTAATAGTTTGGGCTGCAGGCTGTATAAACTTGTGAACACAATAGTTACACGTTTCAGCATTTTTAAATGGAGTAGTATTAGTATTTTATACATGACAGAACTTTGAATTTCTAAGACACTTATTGGAGAATTTTGCAATTATTTTCATCAAATATACTAGATACTGTCTTTCAAAGACCAGTTTAGGCATCAAGATAGTTTTAGCCTTATAAAATCAGTGTTTTCTTCTTCTTCTTCCATTTTAATGACTGTGAAGGCAATAGTGGTATATTTATTTCTCTAAATTTTAATATTAGTGTTGTCTCTCTCTTTCTTTGCATAGTATGGTAAAATATTTATCAACTTAGCTGACTTATTTAAAAATAAGTTTTTGGTTTTACTGATTTTTACTTAACCTTGAGACATCTTTCACTCATGGCTTAGTTAGTAGTATGTTGCTTAGTTTAGAATGCTCATTCTCCAGTTGTCTTCCTGATGCTTAGTTCTATTTCTTGAGTCTGTTAGGGTTTGAGAACATATTTTGTATGATTTACATTCCTTTAAACAAGACATTTTAGCAGTCAACACCATCCTCTGTCTTACTGAACATGAACTGTGCATACAACTAACTGAATATGGCATTTGACAACTGTTAGGTCAATTTGATCAGTATATCCTCAGCAATTCTCTGACAACTTGACTGACCTATCAACGGCTGAGAGAGAATACTGGTATTCCAAGTTCTGTGTTTGCAAAACTCTAAATCCAGATGAGCTGAGTTGTGCCTGATGCATTTTGAATGTCTTTCTAGATCTACACATATTCGAAGACAAGAACTGAAACACTGGTGTTTTACAAATATGGGGTATGAACAGCTCTTTGCTACACCCAATATCCCCATTTAACCTCGACCAACATCTGTTTTCTGGATTCTATCCTCCTCCAAGCCCAAAATTAGTGCAGACAGCGTGTTTTAACTTGGTCAGTATACACATTTCATTTCCCCCCATGACTTTACTTCTTATTTCTATAGATATGGTTAACTTTTTGGATAAATTGATGTAATCAGACCATTCCTTTTTACAAGTACATTTTACTGTAATAACAATCTTGCTGTTTTCTGTTGGTTGCTTTTTAATTTTTATTCTTGTTTCCTCCTGTTCTCTAGTTTTAAGTATTTATTTTAACGACTCCATTTATCTTATATGTTGCTTGATAATTTGTGCTTCTCAAAATATTTCTATTGTCTCCTAGAGTTCATATTATTTGTGATTAAAACTCTGACTCTAAATTCAAATAAAACATAAGGCTTTTATATAAAGTAAGATTCTAAAACACAACATTCATAATTTTTTTCCTCTATGCCAAATATCACATATCAAACTTTTTTTCATTTTTAGCGAAGGTATAGCCACTGTATCACTAATATTGCTCTGAAGCTACAGTTTATAAAAAAGTGAATTAATCCATTTTACATTATTATTTTAATTAGACCAAAGCTCAGACATAACTTCCTCCCTTTTGGCAGAAAATATCCTTTAAGCAGTTGTGCTGAGTAGATTTTCTGGTAATTGCTTCCCTGGACTTGTTGTCTTTATCTTTTTGTATGACTTTTTAAAGTACATAAATTTTAAAGGAATATTTTTGCTAGTCACATTTTTTTAGTCATTAGTTGTAAGTCAAGGTTTAAGGAGGCCACATACTTACCACCTTGTTTTCTTGGTTGCTGATTAGAAATGAGTTACAAATGAGTTTTAAAACCCTTGAGTGCCTCCAATATTCACTCATTTTGTTTCAACCTCTCTCCATTTCTCTGATGTTCAGAGGGTTGGGTATGGAGTTTGGATGCACTTAGATTTAGGAGGGTGTTCATTTTTCTTTTTTTAACATAATTTTGAATACTTTCTAATTGCCTCACCTATTCTTAGAAGTACAGTTTGGGCCCCTCATTAACTGTTGAAAAAATTATTCAGTATTTCGTTTAATATTGAATCAGTTTTATTCTCAACATTTGATACATACATGTGCAGATAGATGATAGATGTAGATTTATAATCCCATATCTATTGATAGATGCGTAGATAGATAGATAGATAGACACAGATTTACAATCCCATTTATCTATTGATGTTTCTTCATAGCTTATGAATGCTTCGTTGTTTTTTGTTCTAATTTTATTTCTGTGTTCATAGATTTTTTTTTATACTTTTGACTGTTCATTGGAATTTATTAACTCCCTTACTGTTACTGACATGAATTCCAAAGGCTATCATTTTCACATTTGTGATGTTCTCAGTGCTTACCATTTCTAGTTGATTCCTTCACATTTCTCTCTTTGTCTTTTTTTTCGGTCTTTTAAAGCAGAACATACAGCATAGTATTGGTAAGGTCTTAGGTCTTAGCAAAACTTGGCTTGTTTAGAAATGGCATGCCTGCCTTCTTGCTTGGTGTAGATTTATGCTAATCTGTGTGTGGATTAGGCTGTGCTTTGCCTTTACTGCCGCCATAATTGCAGGAGTGGGGATTCTTATGGCCAATTGTAACTGACTTAAATTGCTCCTTTGCAGGGACGCCCCAGCTTGTGTTCCACACAGCACCTGTCTTTTGCAGTTCTCCCGATTGCGCTCCGCTGTTACTGGTGCTAACGTCGTTTCAGTATAGCAGAGGGAGTAATGGGAGGCGAAGATGCTGAAGTTTTGATGTTTAGCAAGGTTTGATGTTGGGACGTTAGAGAACTGCTTTCATTAGGGACCTTGGTTGTTGTTCAGAGGGGAAGACTCAGTGTCTTGAATTCCTCCCGTGTCTTTCTCCTGCATAGCTATTTGCAATTTGTCCTGGAGCTATAATTTTGAAGCCATTTTCTCCGCATTTTAAAGCATTTTCTTTTAGCTACTAAAAAGAAGAACAGCGCGGTTGGGTACAATTCCTGTAGCTGCCCTCATTCTCTTCCGTCATGGTCACAGCAGCATCCCCCAGTGTGTCCCTAGGGCAGACCTTTGCCTGGTTTTGAGAGCTTAAACCACATTTCCAGAGTTTGAGTCTTCTCTACAAATCATCCACTATTTTTGTGAGGTCATCTTGACATTCTTTCAAAGAAAAACGGGGATTATCGGAAACACTCATATCTGCCTTCTGCTGTTATAAATTTTTGGGGAGAGACGTGAATAAACTTGCAACAGAAATTACAATCCTGACAGAAAAAAAGAAAGAAAGGAAGAAAGAAAGGAAGAAAGAAAGAAAGAAAGAAAGAAAGAAAGAAAGAAAGAAAGAAAGAAAGAAAGAAAGAAAGGAAAAGAAACGATCCCATAGAATCTAGGGTAATGTGCCAATTAGCTTATCAGAGTTACTTAAGGAAGCATGGTTGACTCAAAAGCAGTGGCATCACCAAAAAGGAACCTTCCGGTGAGTGACATCTTAGGAACGCTGCATTCTTGAGCTCCCTGTTTACTTGCATGGAGCACCAACAAAGACTTTCTTTTCAGCAGCTGGGTACTGCTTTTACAATGTCAGAATGTCTTTCTGAGGCTTGCAGGTTTCTGAGAGTCCTTAGTCTTATAAATTTCAGAAAAGCATTGAGTCTTATGAGATACTCTGCTCCATCCAAGAGGTAGGAGGGGCATGTTAATTTGGAGGAAATAGATAAATAGCAACATTTAGCAAAAATATCTGATTTAATCTTGTTGACTTCTACCCAAGGGAAAAATGTGTCTTAAGTTATTTTCTTCCTAGAAACACATATCTTCAAGTTTCAGAATGCCTTTTTGTTCTTTAATTTTCTGAGTTTTCTTTAAAAACAATTGAGAAGCTGGAGAGATGGATCAGAAGTTAGGAATACTTGTGGATCAAACATAAAACCAGGTTTTGGGTCCCAGAATCCATGTGGCAGTTTATAGTAATCTGTAACTCCAGTTCCAGGGGACCTGACACCATTCATTCCCTGGCCTCTGCCCGTGCTAGGCATGCAAATAATGCACTTATAAAAATATAGGTGAAGACCTCACACACATAAAATAAAAATTAATAAACCTTCTAAATTTTCACCCTACAAAACAACTGATACTTTGCCTGCTACTGTCTTGCTAAAAATAATTTTTAAATCCCTTCAACTGGTAATATCACATTCCCTTTATTTTAACAAATATCGTTGGATCTATCATGAGAATGGCATTACTTCATAACTTTGTCTTGTCTTTATAGAAATTGATAATGATTTCTTTTGGAATTTTTCCAGTTTCTAAGTTTTACAAGCTAAAAATTTCACAAATAATTTCAAATGTTTAGAAAATTAATGGTTTCATTAAAAAGGAAATACTTCAAGTTATTTAGAAATTACTTTTCAAAATAGAAGACACCCAAGTTATACTAGCATTCATTTGGCAGAGTCAACTTTTCTTAATTATAGGAAAGTTTGAAAAAATATCTATCCATTTGGATTCAACTTCCTCAAATAAACAAGAAGATAAAATTGCTTTGAAATACAAGGTTACAAAACTCTACTTTTATAAATATTTGGACATTTAAGAGCTTAATGCAGAAAATTATATATCTACAGGAACAGTACCTATACTTACTAAAAAAATATTGACATAGTGACAATCAGAAGTAACAATGACTCTGTACATGGGAAGTTAGACAATGTTCATGTTTAATTAAAAGATAGGGCAGATGGTTTTGCAATGGTTCATCAATCAACCAAGTACATCCAATAATAAATTTGTCGAAACAAATTGAGTTAGTCTAGCATGAAACAAAGCTATCGTGCTGGAAAATTTAGCCTTTCAAATCCTGAAAAGATTGTTTTTCTTAGTTTTCTAATCCCTTGAATTCTGTTTAAAGGATGGTATGAAGTAGTTGAGATGAAGGACAATAATAAACTATTCTTCTGTTTTAACTTATAAATTTTATTAAATGGCATTCAAGTGTAAAAGACTAATGAATTATCTTCCTCAAAGACCCTAATATGTCCTTACTTGATTGTTTCCTGTTGTAAATTTATTTGATAAATAATTTTGGAGATAAGCAAAGTGTAGGAGTGATCTTACATACTTTGTTTTTCACTGAGTAAGTATTTGGAGTAATATTTTATTATACTCTTGGAAGAAATAGATTTTCTCAAGAGGTAAATAAAAGATGTAAATGAAATCACAAAATACTTAAGACCATGAAGAATATCTAAGTAATGGACATTTGAAGAAAATTTGTATTTAAACAGTCAATTTGTATAGAGAGTAAAAATCACAGTTACTTGAAATCAATTATAAGTCGTTGTGGGATAATGCCTCTTTTTTGATAATAAGGCTTTTTGTTCATGCACATTTGTGAGAGGATGTGACTTAGAACTGCAAACTCTATAGATGACAAGAACAAATGATCCTTTAAATATCGGGTTTAAAAACACCTATTCTATATGTAGGTCATTACTTCCTCCTTAGAATCCACTTCATTTGCAGAAAGACATATTTGGGATTGCAGAAAGAAATTCATGACATGAAAATTTTATATTGAATGCTCTGTTTCTATTATAACACACACACACATACATATATATACAAATATACATCACATGACTTAAAGAAAACAGATTTAAACACATAGATCACTATTATGACCCTCCTAATTGTGCCTTTTTACAAAACAATAGGTGGAACCTGTTATCCTGATGTGTGTGCGACCATACGTAGAAACAGCTTACCTACGGATTTAAACATTATTTGTTCCTTTTTTATTGATTTAAGATAACATGTGACTCTTGTTCTTATTTGATGGCAGAAGGAAAAGAAACATCAGGCAAGAAGATGTTGCTGTTCACAGGAGAACTCAGCCATATGAGGTACAGACACTGACATGCTGTGGCAACAGGTGGCAGCATCAAAGATCACCAGTCAGCTACCAAAAGCCAAGGACTGGGAAGAATTTGAACACAGGTACTTGATGGACAGGGACTCTTAAACATGATTTAACCTTGGAGTTTTGGATTCCAGTACTGAGCTAAGAGATTTCTTTTGTGTTGCCACTGAGTTGGCGGTACTCTTTTAGCTGCAGAAAGCTAAAGCCATCTGTCTTGACTCCATGGCATACACTTGAGCGCATTTATGTGCACACGTGTTGGGAGAGTAGGGTGATTTTATAATAGTTCTTGAAAAGAGTACAAGTCACCAGTTTTAATTGATTTAAAAAGCAAGCAAACAAAAACTCTAATACTACAGTATCAGAAAGTAGTATTGAAGGAATGCAATCCTGGTCTCTATTTCTGTATTGCCTGCTATTCTAACTGCCTCTTGATTTCATTGTATTATAAACATCAAATGAATATGTGTATATGGCGCGCGTGTGTGTGTGTGTGTGTGTAACTGACTAAAAGCAGTTAAAAATAATATATAATCACCTTCCTTTTTCTCAGGAGTTCATCTTCTTCAAGAAATATTTGCTGAGCTAATGCTAAGTGTCAGGCATAATTTCAGTAGCTCATATATCACTAATTCGATGTTGCTTATACACAAAGCACATGTAGTCTTTGGAGAATTTAAATTAAATCATCCTTCAAGTTGTTTCATATAACTCTCTAAACAATGGAACATACCATATATCGCTCCTATTTTTTTTATTACGAAACAGAGAGAGAAAAGACAGCCAATTAAATATTATGCCTACCTGTTCTCTTTCAAATTGGTGTTCTTCCTTTGTGTTGAACTCTTATTTTCTTTCTCTTATCACATAGTGCTATTAGAAATTTTTCTCATTAGATCTCCAAAATAAATTTGCTTCTTCCATGTAAATTAAAAAAAACCCTTTTTAAAAAACAAGGTTGCTTTATGTAAGTAGGTGTATACATTTCAAAGAAAATACACAAGGACTTAGTAGTTGAAGAAAATACTTTGAGGGCATCCAGCCTGGATATGAGAATTTGTGCCCAATCTTATGGCATCTTGTTATGCTGTATTCAGAAACGGAGGAGTAGTGCATCTGGCGTAGAAGGGAGATCAGGGAGGACTGGAGGGAGCAGAGGGAGGGAAGACTGAGGCTGGGATGTATTGTATGAGAGAAGAATAAATAAAAAGATAAGCCTTTGAAAGAAGTTCTGCTCTAGATTAGTATTGTAACATAATGTCATAAAAATATATTACAGAGCAAATAACCAGCCATATTGGCAACTTATAAATCAATATATATTAACTTACTAGAAGGTGCGGACTTTGCCATTCAGAGAAAATTACTTTTTTGAAAACTGGTCACAGGTGTGATACAATCTGTGAACTGAGCTGGGACTTCATGTGGAGTTTCAGCTAGTCTCAAAAAAGTCAGTCATAGACTGACTTTCCTCTCCAATGGCACCTGTGAGTTCATCTCCTCTATAGTGGGATGGGTACCCACAGCCACTTTAGAAGCCTCCAGAGATAGAGACAGGGCCAGGGCCACAGCAGTCTTCTCCTGAAGTCACTGCAACTCCACAAAGTCCCAGCCATTGACCAAGTCCCAGTGGCCACAGCAGGTTTCACAATAACCTAATAGAGTCAGGAGTTAAGGGTTATGTGTGATAAGGAAAGTGTTCCAGTGTATCACTACCTGCTTAAAGGTTCATATGTCTCTTAAACGAGTGTGACAGCATATATCCATGGACCTCCTGTCATGTCTTTAGTTGCGGGAGGGGAAAGATAACATCAGCTTCTGGCTCCTACTTAGGATAATTGTCCAAGTTCCAGTGAAACACACTTTCTCTATGTTGACTCTGACTATGAGATATTCCCAGAGTGCACCTGGGGTAAGAGCCTATCAGGTCCTGTAGCTAAGCATCATATCATTACTATTTACAACATTGGATACGTTGTCCATTTAAGTCAATATCATGTGAAACTATCTTATTTCATATTAAGAACAAAAATGTTGGTCACAGTTTTTTAGAATACCTAAATATAACACTTTTCTGATTTATTTCATTGGGATTTTAAGTGATTTAATTATTTTTTACTGAAATTGTCTTGCTTAAAACTTTCAGTTCATTGAAGTTCTGCCCTTAGTAATATGTGTTATTCTCTCTCAAAACTCATATAAATTAGACTCTTCTCAAATAATTGGCAGTAAATTGAACATTGAATATCTTCATGTAATTCACTAAATTAATCAAAAGTATTTGAGCAAAGTTATATAATTGCTCTTTTGAAACATGACTGTGGTTCTCCAAATCAACAAACAAGAGCAATGAGACATTATTTGCACAACAAGACTGTTATCTTGAAAAATAATCTGTATATTTCCATTTACAATGTGTTCTGCTTGCTAGAACCTGGTAGGTACAATCTCAATTAAGTGGAATGAAGATTATTCACCATCAGTAAAGGTAGATAAGACCATTCTTCTATTTGTCTGCAAATGGGACTTTAGCTTTAAGATTAATTTTATAAAAAACATTGAGAATAAAAGGACCTGAATTATCTGTGAATATTACTCTTCATGTTTTTTAAAAGATAATATCAAATTGTATTTATATTGCTGGTGAGTTAAAAGATTTTTTGCATTCAAATCATTAACTACAAAAATGATTTTTTGCATCAATTTGTTTACAAATGCAATAAGTGCTCATTGTTCGTTTCTTGGTGGAGGTAGCAGTTTCACAAACCTTCATCTGTCTAAGACATCCATAAACAAGCCTCCAAGCAGTTGGCCTCCCCACCTCTAACACTGCATGTCCTAAACCACAATTATGCTTCTTTCTCACACACAACAGTAACCCAAGTGAAATAAAGTGTATGAAATAACCAAATATCTTTGACCTGAAGTAGAGATTCAAAGAAACGTCAGACTGGCCAATTTTAATGGTAGCAATTTAATTTGAAAGACATACTCCCACAAAATAGTATGTGTGCATGACTATGTGTGTGTTTGAATGTGTAGAGTCAGGAACTGAAGTGATAGATTTATGTGTGCTAAGCTACACTGAATTGCATGATCAGTCTACTGTTTTAAAAAGATGTATTTTTTCCAATTAGTAATCACAAAATTATAAATCATGATAGTAATTTCTTCACAATGAAATCAATGACTTAAAAACACTTTGATACACATTTCCTTCTCTAGTCTTATCAAAACTCTTCTAAATATTTGCTGAGAAATCCAATACTCTTCATTTTGCAAACCTACTTTGCATTTATGTAATTAAAGACAGCATCAGAAAGTAAAACCATGTTCTATACTAAGAAAATATGTTTTCTTAAGATTATATAAACAAATGAGGTTCTGTGTGAATTACCACTTCAGTTTTCATTCAGGCCTTCTGGGAAATCTATTAAAACTCACCTTTCTGACTTATAAGCATGACACTTAAAAGCACAATTGATCTCCATACAAGATTTGGAAATGACTGTGACAATAATCTCATTGTTCATTTAATAATTGAACACTGTTATTGAAGATGCAGTAAGTCCTAACCAATAACATTTAGATCACAAAACTCAAATACAGTTTCTTTCTTAATCACCATACGTGAAGCATCTTGGCTGTGTCAGGCACTCTGTGAATGTAGAGGCTTTGTGAATACGCTGAATTCAAGGCCTATGAAATCTGCTGTAGAAGCAACCCATTTCCTCTGCTAACCTAAAAGTCATCACTATTGTGAGTGCTAATAAACCCATTGTGAATTTCTTCAACCAGCAGACAATCATAGATAACTCATTTTAGAACTGAATTATTTTCCACAGTAAGACATTTAATTTAGTGCCACAACACTTTGACACACTCAGCTGATGTTTTTCTTAGTAGCATACATTCACCTGAATCTTAAAGGCATAGAAAGTGTATTTTACTCAACGTGCTTCCTCTATTTCTGTGCATAAGAGGGCATGATCAGCAATAATCACAATGAGATTTGATTGATGAATAAGAAATTCATTTGCCTCTTTTTCCTCCATTGTGTAAAATTTTTAAATTGTAAATGATTACAAGTATTCCTGCAGCCCAGATTTTTTCAAGAAATAATATATTACATACAAAGTACCAAACCAGATGTGGTGGCTCACACCTATAATCTCATTGATTGGGAGACTGAGACCTGAGAATTTCTATGACTTGGAGGCCAGACTGAGCTACATTCACCTCCTGACTGCTAGAATTAAGGGCTTGCAATGCCACACCAAGCTCATATGCTGCTGGGGATCCAACCCAGGGTTTTGTACATGCTAGGCAAACACCCTACCAATGGAGCTACGTGTCCACCCCTTGGAATTGCTTCTTTCATTTTTTAATATTACATTGTAATTAAATCATTTTTCTCTGTTGCGGGATGTTCTAACCATACTTACCACACTCAGACACTCTAGAGGCTGACAATAAACTTAAACCTTGAATCAGAAGGCGGAGTCAACATTCAGCTGGCCAGAATTAACCATAGAGTCAGTTTTTGGCTGACTCAGATTAGGATAGAGAGACACAGGAAGGAATAGGGAGGGACTTAGAAAGATTCATGGGCCTTTTGAATCTGGAAGTATGGAGAGTCAGGGTCAGTCAGCGGATCATTTCACCGAAGCTCTTTGAATCTATCAGGTTTTTACCCCAATATCTGACTTCCTAGTTTTACTTATTAATAGACTAATGTAAATAATTGCCTTACTTCCCCCTTCCCCCCCCTCTCAATACCATACACCACCACTTACTTTCTTTCAAATCCATAGCCTCTCTTTTCATTAATTGTCACATACATGTATATATGTACGTACATATATTCCTAAATATAATTTTGTAAGTCATGTATACACTATATAAATTAGTGGTATAGCATATACCAAAAGTGTCTATATCAAACATCAAAATTAGCAACAAAAATGCAAATCTTAAACAAAAGTATCAAAGAGCACAAAGTGGTAAGTATAGTGAGTGATAAGTTTATTGATCAGTCTTCTTCAGTCATTCCATGCTATACCAGATAGCAAAACATGAATTGTTCATAAATATATAAAATTTTATCTTTCAACTAAATATAACCACAAATGAGATGTATATGGTACAGTTTTCCAAGGCAGAGGGGGCATCATAGAAGAGGGGTGGAAAGATTGGAGAGAACTAAATAAGAAACAAACCACAAGTGCATTTAGTAAGGGGAGGGAAATGTAGTTAATATTATTAAGTAAATGTTATCTGCACATCCCAGTGGGAAAGTGATGTTGCAGTCCATTGTTTTGATGTTACTCTCTTGCAAATCTTCTCGGTCTACAGAGCCTTTATACTTTCTCAGGTGGCATTGTGTTGAGAGTGAAAGTTATCCAAGTGCTAGGATACAAATGTTGCTCCCCCAGAAGAAGGTGAGAGGAGAAAAGATATTCAGAAAAGTTATAATTCAGGCAGGGGTATATTTCAGTTGGTTGACTCATTGATTAACATGAAGCCCTGGGTTGGTTCTCCAGCACGCTGTGTACCTGGTAAGGTAGTATTTTCCCATATCCCAGCATGGAAGGGTGGTGGCTAAGGGATGAGGCATTCAAACACATCCTGGGCTAGAGACCTCATCCATAAAAGAGAGAGTTGGGGAGGGAGGGAGGAAGGAGAGGCTGTAATCCAAAATCACTAAGACATTCAGTTAAAACAGAGTTTTCCCTAAGCGATTTTGAATAATATAAAATTTGCAGTCCTAGTATATACCTAACAAAAACATTACCTAAGCCTGAACCTCAGAAAACTAAACTGGAAAATGCATTCCAGGTATTTTTAGTTCAGAGATTTCCAGAGTTTATATTAGACTAACAGCACATTTTGGGCATCAGGAGCCTCACACTACAAAACTGAAGAGTGAATTAAGTGAACTCTCTTCTTAAGAGGCAGATCTGGGTCTGGTCTGCAGTATTCAAAACTGAATCGGTTATATGTAAAAGACATTATGAAACTGAAACTTCAATGTGATGTTCATGGAATTTGTATAGTACCCTTTGAATGCAATATAAATTTTCACAGACAAATGTTTTTGAATTCTTTTTTTTAAAGATTTGTTTATTTATTATGAATACAACATCCTGCCTCCACGTATGTCTGCACACCAGAAGAGGGCGCCAGATCTCATTACAGATGGTTGTGAGCCACCATGTGGTTGCTGGGAATTGAACTCAGGACCTCTGGAAGAGCAGCCAGTGCTCTAAACCTCTGAGCCATCTCTCCAGCCAGTTTTTGAATTCTTAATCAAGTCTTAAACATAACAATGCACAGGTATGTTCCTGTTATCCCTGATCTTTCCAGGACCTTTATCATGAAGGGATGTTGGATTTTGTAAAAGGCTTTTTCAGCATCAAATGAGATGATCATGTGGTTTTTCTTTCACAGTTGGTTTATATGGTGAATTACACTGATAGATTTTCGTATATTGAACCATCCCTGCATCCCTGTGATGAAGCCTACTTGATCATGACTTTTCTGATGTGTTCTTGGATTTGATTTGCTAGTATTTTATTGAGTATTTTCGCATCAATGTTCATGAAGAATATTGGTCTGTAGTTCTCTTCCTAGAGTTGTGACTTTGTGTGGCTTGAGTACCAGAGTAATTGTAGCCTCATAAAAAGACTTTGGCAATGAACCTTCTGCTTCTATTATGTGGAACACTTTGAAGAGTATTGGAATTAGCTCTTCTTTGAATTTCTGGTAGAATTCTGCACTGAAGCTATCTGGGCCCTCATCCAGTAGCTTATGGAAGCAGAGACAGACACCCACAACTAAACACTGATATAAACTCCTGGAACTCAGTGACAGAGAGAGAGGACTGAGGAGCAAAGGGGTCAAGACTGGGCTTGTTTTACCTAGAAACAGTTTGGTCTACAGAGCGACTTCCAGGACAGCCTCCAAAACAATACAGAGAAAAACCCTGTCTCAAAAGACCAAAAAAGAAAAAAGAAAATCATTAGTGTAGGAGCTGAAATAGATGGCTCAGCAGTTAAGAATACTTGTTGCGCTGGGCGGTGGTGGCGTATGCCTTTAATCCCAGCACTTGGGAGGCAGAGGCAGGCGGATCTCTGTGAGTTCGAGGCCAGGCTGGACCGACAGCCTCCAAAACAACACAGAGAAACCCTGTCTCGTAAAACCAAAAGAAAAAAAAAAGAACCAATGAAAACAAAAGACACATGAAAGTAGACATGCTTTAACTCCTCATATACCTTCATATACTCACCTTTATAATGGTGTCCAACACAGGGAGTCAAAAAAGCAGGTATAATTTGAATTAAATTTATTATTAAAGGAAGTATTATTGAAGCAAAACATGAACTCTGATACAAAAGGCTAACCTCTACACTTTAAGCCCATATTCTAGTTTATAGTGTAGTTAAACAAAATGATAGGTTCTTGTTTGTTGGGTCAGCAAAACATGTTTATTTAGGATGAACTTAAATTTTAGAACTTTTAGAAACACAACAAATGTTAGTGGCTGAATATGATATATGAATCCATAAATTCAATGCGGGAAGAGTCTAGATTTTTCCGGAGTAATCGAAGACAAGTTCCTTTCAGAGCTAGAAGTCAATATTCCATAGTTGTCTTCTTTGTAACAAAGGGAACATTTTCCTCTCAAAAGACAGGCAAGATAAGGAAGACAGTCTGAAGACCAGCAGTTCACTCAGTAGAAGCTGGAGAACCCATATCCTCCATAGCATGAAGGGCGGCAGCAGCCATACCCGTAGCCTCCATAGCCAGAGCCGTATCCGTAGCCTCCATAGCCAGAGCCATATCCGTAGCTTCCATAGCCAGAGCCGTATCCGTAGCCTCCATAACCACAGCCACAGCCCAGCCTGCGGATGCTGTTACATCCACAGCCATAGCCTCCATAGCCATAGCCCAGGCCTCCGTAGTAGCCGCTGTAGTAGCTCATGGTATCAGGAGAGAGGAACTGTTTTGCACTGGAGATGAATTGAGTGAGGTGTGTATATGCCTAGCTTTCCTGAAAGCTTTTATACCCTGTGTTGAATACAGTAAACAGGGACATGTGATCCCATCTCCTTGCAACAGAATAATTTCAAGTCTATAAATTCATTTAAATAGTTTCTTTGTTACTTAACAAAAGGTCCACACTTCTATTAAGGAATTGTTAGTAATCATTATTTTTTTAATGAGTTTGCATTCCAGTAAAGGAAATGCTTCCAAGATGAAAAATGATTTTACCCTCTTCAAAGGCCAAGCCAATGTTTCAATTAAAATCTTCTAATCTGGTTGATAGGTTCCAGGAACCTTGTAATTATGCAACTTCGGAGTGCTTTTCTTTTTAAATTACATTCCATTGTTTTATCTAGCCATCATTCCTAAAGCTCAGGCTTCTTGCCCCCAGGTACTTGGGGCATCACCAAAAGTCCTTAGTGCTTGCCAAATAGTCAAATTTAAAGGAAACATAATTTTTGATCCATTTGAATTTTTTTGACATCAGCACCATCAATTCTTTGTCAACCTTCTTTCTCTTAATTTCTATAATACCCAGCTAGCTCCTCCTCTTAGCCTTTCTCCAATTCTTACTGATCCCCTAGCTCTGACAGTGTATCCATTCCTTCTCAATCAAGTGATAGCGTTATCAAATGGGATTCATTAAGTATCATTTATTAATTTGTTAAATTTGTTCTTTGACAACTGCACACATGGATATAACATTCCATTGCTCTTACCCCACCCTTTCTTATGTCCTACTTGCCACTGTCAATGGTCCTTCCTTTCTACAAATCTCTTTTCCACATCAGCTATTATTCCTTTTAGAAAATATGATTACATTGTGAGTTTACCTGTTGTGTGCTTTACCTATTTTGTTCATGGATATGCACTCGGTTTGTGAAGTGAAACTTCTAAGTGAAATCCCAGTTGTTTTCTCCCTTAAGCCTACTACTTATCATTTGTCTTCTGTCACTTTTAAATTAGTGAAAAGATCTCCCTGCCCCAGGGAGGCTTCGCCTCTGATTTGTCCTACAAATGATTAACATTCTAAAAGACAAGTCTTCAAATTTCCTTTCTATATTAATCATTGGGAAAATGGTTAATTTCTTTAAATTCACCAGCAACTTTATTCCTCACCAATCAAATACTTCTCTGTCTTCGCACTTGTGATCCATGTTATCTCTTCAGCTCCAAGGTAAGCAATTGCTGACAATGTGAGACATCAACCTTCTGTGACATCACAGGCATAAGTCGGGTGACTTCCTCTGGAATCACCAGACACTGCTGGCAGGAATACTATTCTATCCCTACCTTCCAAACATAGCCAAGCATTCACCTTCCTTAGAAACATCTCAACTGTATGTGTGGGAGCTCCCACCCCAGTATCTTTAGAATAACCTATGGAGTGCTACCAGACACCCAACACACAGTCCTATCCTCCTTTCTCATTAGATTTTAGAGTGGTACTTGAATGTGTCCCTGCCTTAGCCAATAAGCGTCTGTCATATCTGAGGAATTCTATAATATATTGCTCAAACATTATAAGTGGTAGTTTCTGCTTGATTGATTAAAATGCATGGAAGTCCATAAGAGTCACAAATTCTATGATCTCTGACCTTAGTGTGACATGGAATTGCATCTTTTGTACTTCACACTGTTTATACCAGTAAGATATGTTTAGGATAATATACTTAGAACTTTTTGTTTTATTATGCATAACTAAAGTAGAATACGGCCTTACAACCTAGCAGAGAATTTAAGGAATGATGCTGAAAACTAGCTTTTGTTATTAACGGGATCTTCATCTTCCTGAGTAGAAGCTGGGGTGGCAGTTGTGTAATCCTAACCTTCCAACTCATTCCAAATACAAACCACAAAAACTCTATGCTTCCAAAATGATCTTATCATGGAGGGTGCTACCAACTTCAAATTAAAAGAATGTCAGACAAAACCCACCACAAGTTTCTAGTGGAGAGTTTCCTTGAGTTCTTTCCTAGCATTTTGTAGAGTTGAGTAAGGCAAGGACAAAGACAAATTTGCATCAGAACATGAAAACTGAATGTCTAAGATCAAATAAAAATAATCTACAGACAGTATCATAATGAATGTCTAACAACCCATTCCACCCAAAAATCCAGAAATGCAAGCATCTTCACAAAGTATTAAGATTAAAACAAGTAGAAAAGATCATTATTTAGCTCGGAATTCCAGACAGCGAATGAGACAGACAGAAGAAAAGCATTCCATGAATCAAGATCTCAAAGAAAGATGCTAAAGATATGAGTCAGCTCAGCTGTTATGAACACTTACAGCTCTTTCAGGGCACCAGGATGTAATTCCCAGTATCCATATCAAGTGGCTCTCCATCATGTTTAGCACCATTTCTAAGGGACCTAACTACCTCTTCCGGATTCCTTGGTACCTATACACACACACACACACACACACACACACAGAGAGAGAGAGAGAGAGAGAGAGAGAGAGAGAGAGAGAGAGAGAACTGACATTTTACATATTCGAAGTGTACAAGTGAAAATGAATAAAGGAAGGAAGTTAATTGTAGGAAACAAGTAATGAGGTAAGAATCACATCTGTAGGATCACAAAATTCCAATCAACCAAGGATAGTGGAGTCAAATAGGAATATAACACATGGCACTGGATAAAAATCAGAGAATTACCAAAAGAATAACCATGTGTCTGAGAAAAGAAATAAAATAAACATAGGGGAATATTAGTAAAGTGGAGGACAGAGATATATTTGATTGACATCTAAGTGGAGTCTGTAGTGAGAAGAATTAGTCCAAGAAAACTTGTAGCTTAAATAGAGCTTTTAAAATGAAAAGATGTCTTCAGTCTTCATATTGACCTGGCCATTCATGATATAGGAATATGATTAATAGCTAACAAACTCAAGTCACTGCTCAAAGTTCTTGAGAGAAATAAAGCTGGGATGGTTGCAAGGCAGTATGAGTGTATTTTGTTAGTATTCAGGCATCTACACTGGCCTGTCCTTGGGGTTCTGACAGGACATGCCCTCAGCTGCACCCGCTAAGAGCACAACCTGTGTTCCCTTTTAAAAGGGCCCTGCCCACCTTCCATCCTTCTCTTTCTCTCCTTTTCTCTGTTCTGCTGTCTCTATCTCCTCCCTCTCTCTATCTCCATCTTTCACTTCTCTCCCTGTCTTTCCTCTCTCCTGCTGCCCCTGTCTCCTGAGGCCTGAATCCCCCACCCCTTTCCCCTTTTTCATGATCCCTTCCCCTAATAAAATACCCCTCTGCTTGAATCCTGTCTCTTGTCATCTTTCTCTCAAGTGCTGCTATTCTTAAACTACAAAATATTTAATGTCAGATACCAAACTACAAACCGAAATGGCTAAAATAGTAAATTTTATGTTAAAATTATCATCTGTTGCCGGGCGTTGGTGGCACATGCCTTTAATCCCAGCCCTCCAGATGCAGAGGCAAGCAGATCTCTGTGAGTTTGAGGCCAGGCTCCAAATCAATACAGAGAAATCCTGTCTCCAAAAACCAAAAAAAGGTCATCTGTTCTTGATTTAACTTTGGTATGTGATACCTATCCAGAAAATTGTCCATTTCCTTCAAAATTTCCAATTTTGTGGAGTACAGGTTTTCAAAGGATGACCTGATGATCCTCTGGATTTCCTCAGAATCTATTGTTCTGTTCCCCTTTTCATTTCTGATTTTTTGCTAATTTGTATGTTCTCCTTCTGCCTTTTGGTTAGTCTTGTTAAAGGTTTGCCTATCTTGTTAATTTTCTCAAACAAGCAACTCTTTGTTTCATTGATTCTTTGTATGGTTTTCTTTGTTTCCATTTTATTGATTTCAGGCCCCAATTTGATTATTTGCTGGCATCTACTCCTCCTGCTTCATTTTCTTCTAGAGCTTTCAGGTGTGCTGTTAAGTCACCAATTTGGGAATTCTTCACTTTCTTTATGTAGGTACTTAGTGCTATGAACTTTCCTCCTAGCACTGCCTGTAAAGTGTCCCGTAAGTTTGGGTATGTTGTGCTTTCATTTTTGTTGAATTCTAGGAAGCTGACTATGGTGCACATTAGCTTGTTGGTAGCATGTTTTAACCCAGCAGGGGGCTGGAGAAATGGCTCAGCAATTAGGAGGAGTAGCTGTTCTTACAAAGATTCAAGTTTAGTTCCCAGGCCCTCCATCAGGCAGCTCAGGATCACCTATAGTTCCAGCCTCGAGGAATCTAGCTCTCTCTTCTGGTCTCCATGGGCAACTATGAAAATGTACCATAATCATACAGAGACACACAAATATATACACAAATAGAAAAATAAATCTCAAGAAGAAAACAGCACAATAAAATACATATGCTACTCAACTTTGATTTAAAAAGTCTGATGAAAAAAATATTTGTGGAAGAGGAAAAGCGGAACCAAGTCCCACAAATCAATCATCCCGGTCAGTCAGAGAAGGGAAGGGTTACAATGAGAAGGTGAATCCTGGCAGAACAGATGGAATTAATTTAGAATGATACTATGATAAACGCGCATTATTTTTCTCTTCCTTGAAGGTTTTATTCACAAGGCCACACAGTGGTTATTCTTGAAGCACAGGTGTGGTTTCTCCTATTGCTCCACATTGTGATACATCGCTCCTCATGGCAGCTGTGGGGAAACATACCACAAGATTTACATTTCAATTATGTGATAGCTATCCTGGAAATTTGGCTTTTTTCCAGTTTGGGCTGGCTGTAAATAAAAGTAGCATGAATATATTCACACATTTGTTTTCATGGTTGTATACACTCATATCTGTTGGATGCATTCCCAGGAGTGAAATTACCGTGTCATAGGAAATGGGAATGTGTGGCTTTAATAGCCATGGCATGCTTCCTAAAGTGCTTTAACTATTGTGTATTTTAAGCAATACTGGGGGAAAAAGTCCCCGCTGATTTACATTCTCACATAGCATAGTAACAAATACCGGGGATTTCGGCATTTTAGTGGTGGAATGGTACTACCCTAGCTCAAATTTGAGTGTGCCTTTCTCAGTTCACTAGTGCTGTTGACTTAGCATGTTTGTACGTAGTAATCAGCTACTGAATGTTTAAGTTCCTTGCTTGTCTATAACGTGTTAGCCTATTTTTCAGCCTCTCCGTTCTCCAGCCTCACTCCCGCTTCTGATGACTCCCTTCCTCTTCTCACCCAGTCTACCTCTTATTTCCGCGACACTTTCGTCTGCAGGGCTCACACAGGCGATCACAGCTGCCATGAGATCATGCTTGCAGTGCCCATGTCATACCCAGAAGCCTGCATTTTATAGCATTACCATGTCATACCATCTCATTCTCTGTCAGTTACACGCTTTTGCCCTTCCTCCCACATTGTTCTCTGGGCCACAGAGAAGTCGATCTAGATAGCAGTGTCTATTGCTCAGAAGTCCATGGCCATAAGCCTGTTCTTTGACAATCACACATTAGGAAAAGAGGGTTCCTAAGGCTGAGAGCTACTCTAGACTATCAGCACAAACGTAAGCGCTTAAACAGCAAGCAAATGATGTGCAGACAGAGGAGACGATGCCAGGTTTTAAAAGGTTTCAGTGTGGATGGGTGATAGAAAAGGGAACATTTTCCCCACTCCCCTTTCATATCAGCTGTAGCATGATTTCACCCTCAAAAGTACTCTTTCCCTTCTTACTTCCTGCCCTTTGCAATTACTCCAGGTTTCAAACTCACATCTTAAGGTTTGGAGCTAGGAACTAGGCATGAGAGAAAACAGGTGGAATTTGTCTTCCCAGGTCTGCATTACCTGACTCAATATAATACTTTCAAGTTCCATCTGTGTACCTGCAAATTCCATTACCCTTTATAGCTGAACAGCATTCCACATTGTGAGTGCACCATATTTTCACTATCCATTAGTCAGGTAAAGAAAGCTTAAGCTGCTTACTATTGTGAATAGGAAGGCAATGGATATGATTGAGCATGTGTCGATGGGGTCTGGAATACCAAGTCATTTGGGCATATAGCAAGGTATCGTGCACTTGGGTAACATGATATAATTATCCCCAGCAAATTCCAGAACACATGCACACATTTGCAGTCCCACCATCACTGAATGAGGGTGCCCCTTTCTCCACAGTTTTTCCAGCATTTTCTGTCAGCTCTTTTGTTGATTTGACAGGGTAGGATGAAATTTCAGAATTATTTTAATTTGCATTTACCAA